AAGGCGGGGCAGTGGCTCCCAGCCGGGCGCTCTGACCCTGGAGCCTTTCCTGTTCTGGGTCACACTGGCTTCCTTGTGACCGAGGTGGGCGCCCTCTGCTGGCCATGCCCTGGCCTGCAAAGCCATGTCCCTTCAGAGTAAGGGATGGGATCCTCCTGCTCCTGGGATGTAGGGGTGGGCGGGCCCTTGAGCCTGGGGTCCTGACTTCAGATGGTGGTGCCTGAGGGTACTCAGGGGCTGAGCTGAGTTTTGAGCCTCATGGTGGTCTATTTCGCAGGCTCCGGGCCTTCCATCCCTCCCCGGTGGGGAAGGGATTTACGCCAGCTGCTTCATGTCCTGCCACACGCCCTCCACATCTACAACGGGGCCTATGGTACCTTAATCAATAAAGAAATTAAAAAGAATAACAATAAAATAAAACAGGACCTCTGGTCCCACTGCTCTTGCGGGGCCTTGGAGACTGCGGTCTGCAGCTGAGACTCCGTCTCCCAGAGCAACGCTGGGGTCCAGGGCTTGAGGCAACTTGAGACGTGGAGTGGCCACTGGCAGACTGAGCCAGGAAAGATCCCCGCCTTTCTGAGCACAGCAGGGGGAAGCGATGCCTCTGAAGACTGAAAAACTGAAGAGGCTTGAGGTCTCCCTCACCCAATCAGAAGGCCTCTCTCAGCCCCCTTCCTCTCCCGCCCCACCCCTCCTCCTCCCTCTCCTCCCTCTTCTCCCTCTCTTTCCGCTTCCTCGTTCCTTGCCTCCGTCACCACCTCCACCTCTCTGTGGGATGGATATTATTATCTTCCTTTTAGCGAGGAGGCATTTGAGACTCAGCAAGGTAGAGCGGCTGGCCCCGGGCACCCAGTCAGCCGTTTCTGGCTTAGACTCCAGACTCTGGCCTGTTCCTTCTTCCTCTTCCCTGGTTTCACTCCCTGCGTCTCCTCTGTCAGCTCCTCCTGCAAAAAGTGTCCCAAAGCCTTCATCCACTTCTCTCCCTGTCCTTGGCTTCCACTCGGGCTAAAGCCTTGCATTTTTTGTTTATTTTATTTTAATGATTTTTGAGAGGGAAAGAAAGAGAAAAATACTGATTTTGTTGCCCTGCCTACTCATGCATTCATTGGTTGATTCTTGTATGTGCCCTGACCAGGGATGGAACCTGCCACCTTGGCTATGGGATGATTCTCTCACCAACTGAGCTACTCAGCCAGGGAAAGACCCATCCAGGTGACCCTGCAGTCCCCCTGCATCCCCACAGGTCACCTGGCCCTATTTTCTTTCTTTCTTTCTTTCTTTCTTTTTTTTTTTTTTTTTTTTGCAAAAATCAATTTTATTTCTACCAAGGAGCAAATGAACAGTCCAAAGTGAAGAAAAACAAAAAACAAATCCATTTACCATGGCATCAAAAATGATAAAATATTTAGAATACATTTAACAAAAGGACTCCAGAACGTGTGCTCTGACCGTTCCTTTTTTTCTTTCTTTCCTTCCTTCTCTCTCTCTCACAGATCCACACACAGAACACGGCAGGCTTCTAGGTGCTGCTTCATGCTTGACAACAGCAGCTATGGGCTGGTTAGTTGACGGAAGTCATGACCACACGTGGTAAAATGAGTCACATGCATGGTCAGGGAGCAAGCACAGAGGACAGACATGACAGAGCGGGACAAAGCTACCTGGCCCTATTTTCAACAGCCCAGTCTACATGCTGGAGCAGGCACAGTGAGCCTTTATTTTATGTTGAGAAGCTCCTCTCATGTATGTAAGGTACTGGCTTGTGGACAAGGTTGGGGAGAGGTGGGTCCTTACCCAGGAGTTTGTCTTAGCAGCTGCCTGTGTGAGAGGCAAGCCCCCTCAAGCCCTCAGGGATGGAAAACATATGCCTTCTAGTGAACCCCGGCCCTGGCCCCCTGCCCTGCCACACCCTCAGAGGGGAAGGAAGGAAGGAAGAAGGCAGACTGGGTCCAGCCCTAAACTGGGAGCCACATGACCAAATTTGAGACGCGATCCTGTAATTCACTGGCTGTGTGACCCAGGGCAAGTCCCCATATATCTGTGAGCCTCAGCTTCCAATCTGGAAAGGGAGCTGATGACACTTACAGCCTGAGACCCCAAATTACATGGACAAACAGCCCGTCCTTCGTGGGTGCTTGACTATTTTGTCTCCAAGCAATGCCTGCCCTTCTCCTGATTCTCCTGGGGGCTTTGGGGTGAGGGGGTCTCCAGTCGCATGACCATTCTAGGCAGCAAAAAGGAGCTGCCCAGGATGTGGCTGAGGCGCCTGCAGCCTGGTTAGGTGCTGTGACTCCGGGAAGGATCACTAGACACTCCGGAAGATCCAGTCTCGTGACCTCCCAGGTGTCAACGTGTAAGTGACCGGTCCGCCTCCTAGGAGCCGTCTGTGGAGTCCTCCAGAGGAGACCAGAGCAGCCTGGGAGGATAGAGGCTCCACTCAGACCCTCATCCGTGCATTTATTCATTCTTCCACCGCTATCGCCCCAGAATAGATGTTCAATAAATGTATGCTGGGAGAACAAAATTGTTCCCTACCTTCAACAAACATTAGAGGGCACCTCCTGCTCCTAGCTCTGTGCTCAGAGATACACATCTCTGAATGGCCTTGACAGCCCTCTCCCAGGCCTCCAGGGCCTCTGCATCCTCCTCGCTCTTTTCACTCCCAGCCCAGTTTCCGCGGTTGCCATGCTCCAAGCACCAGGCCTTTTCCCAGAATCGAGGTAATGCCCAAGCGCCCGGTGCAGCATGGGCTCTGGAGAGGTTGCACCCCTCACCCACACCTCTCCAAATCCTCCCCGTCTTTCAGTCTTTCATGTCCCAACTCTGGCAACCCTTCCCCATCCCTCTCCAACTCCACAGCCATCTCCCCCCTCCCAGTGCCCTATATCTACCTGGGGTCATACCGGGATGTACCAGCAGGTGGCGCCGAGGCCCCCTCTGCTCCAGCGCTGGACTGGACTCCAGACCCCACTAGGACCCTGTCGCGTCCCTCCCTCCTTCTCTTCTCAGCAGGGACAGGAGTGGGCTCTGTGACCTCTAGATAACCCCTCTCCTTCCTGCTGGCTCCTGCGAGGAGACCTCAGGAGACTCCGGTTGCTCCTGCAGGCCTGGGCTGCCTTTTCCTGCCTGGTGGGTGAGGGGGTCCCCAGGGGCCCGGCTGCAGCTGGTGGGGCGGGGCCGGGTGGGGCGGGGCAGAACGCAGCTGCCAGAGAGAGAAAGAAAGAGAAAGGAGAAAGAGAGAGGAAGAAAGAAAGAAAAAGAGAGAGAAGAGATAACGGACAGAGAGAGTGCTCTGGTTCCCAGGTTGGCCAGAGGACGAGGTATGTGGCTGAGGGAGCAGAGGGGCCGGGGGAGGGTCAGCCGGCCACGCAGAGCAGGCCTGGGGGGGCTGAGGGGCTGGCCCGTTAAACCCCGCTGCTCAGCAAGAACCCCGAACCCCTCCGGGTGAGACCAGGTAGAAAGGACGCAGCTCCAGGAGGCCTTGGGTTGAGAGTCTGTCAAGGGCTCTGTTGCTGCCCTGGACTCGCTGTGGGAATTTGCACCGAGATTTTTCCATCTCTGTACCTCAGTTTCTTAACATAAAGGGGGGGGGGGCAGATCCTGAACAGGGCTCTGTGGGGTGACTTTGCCAGGTGGCCCCTTGGGAAGGATTAGCCCTCGCGGGGCCTGGGGAAGACCAGGCCTTTAAGGCCAGACAGTGGGCAGAGATGAGTGGCCCCTCCGTGTCAGGGGCCCAGGGCCCGGTCTGTGCCTCCCTCCTCAGCCTGTTCGGGGGCTTGGGGGGAAGTGTCAGCGTGGGGCGGGGAGCTGCCCAGCTGTCTGGTGTCCAGAGATCATTGGGAGAGGATGGTGGTCAGATGGTGGGTGCCTGGCGCTCCAGATCAGAAAGGAAGTGGGTTGGGTGGAACGGTGTGGGACTGAGGTAGGGTCGGTAAGAGGCTATAAGTGTCTCAAGGTAACGAGGGAGGGGCCATCCAGCCCTTTTATGACTGAGGCTGCCGGCCCTGCTAAAGCACTTAGAGCCATCAGCTCCTCCGCTGCTGACAGCACTCCGCCGGCCAGGATGGGAGGGGGCGGGGAGAGAAGGAGGGCAGGGCGGCGAAAGGGGAGGCCTGGAGCCACCCCTCCCTCATCCTGCTCTTGGGAAGAGATTGTTCCAGATTGTTCTCTGGGTAGGAAGGAGTTGGCACGAGCGAATTCTAGGGTCCCAGGGCTCCCAAAGTGACTGAGCTCGCTCAGGTGGGAGACAGTGAGTCAAGCACAGGTTTGGGGATCAGGTCAGCCCGTGTCCAATGCCTGCGTCCCCACCAGCCAAGCAGCCTCTCCAGAGGCAGTCTCCTCCCTGCCAGTCCTTGGAAAGTGGAGCCAGGCCTCAGGGTGAGAAGTAAGCAAAGCCCTTCGCACAGGATCTGGCACCTCCTAAGCAGGTGCTCCGGGTTACTCTCCCCACGGAGAGGCCGGCGGAGGCGCAGGGATGGGGGAGGACGGGCAGGGGCCACGAGCCAGGCCCTCCGGGGTGTCAGAGCCCCTCTCCCTGGCCGCAGGGCAAACCCTGAGCACCTGCGGTGTGCGCCCTGCACTCACCCCGCGCTCTGCGGGACCCATCCCTGCCGGGGAGCGCCCCAGCTCCCTCCTGCCCCAGCCAGCGAGGCCCTGGGTGTGGGGTGAGGGGAGTCCCCAGGGCCACAGGGTGGGGGAGAGGCGCGGGGAGCACCTGTCCGGCTGGGAGAGGGCGGCGCTGGGCCGGCCGCGGGGGGCGGGGAGGGAGGGAGGGAGGCGGGGGGGCGCGGAGGAGCCGTTTGCGCTGCGGCACCGGCGAGAGGGGGGCGGCCAGTGGCGGCCCCGCGGACCCGGCTGCCGGCCGGGTGGGGAGCGGGGGGGGCGCCCTCGGCCCTCACCCCGCCCCGCGTCTCCCCGCAGCTGGGGCGCCCCGCCCCCCGGGCGCCCGACGTGGACGCGGCCGCCGCCGCCGCGCGGGAGTCGCTGTCCGCGGAGCCGACATGCAGGCGGCGCGGGGCGGCGCGGGGCGGCCGGGCCGGGCGGGCCGCGGGCCGGATCGCGGGCGCCAGCGGCCGCCGGGAGCCGGAGCCGCGTCCCCCTGCGCCGCCCCGGGCCGGCCGGCCGCCGCCGCCGCCATGCACCGCCTCTGGCTGGGCTGCGTCTGCCTCGCGCTGGTGCAGGCGGGTAAGGGGGCCCTGGAGTTGGGGGTGGGGGGGGAGGGCAGGGGGCGGGGAGTCCTCAGTTCCCTCCCTGCTTCCTGGGACTCCATCTCTGCCCCATCACCGCTCCCTGATGCCAGCCCCAGCCTCTTCCCTGCCTTCCTGACGTCCAGCCCCTTCCTCCAGCCCCCAATTCCCTGCCAGCCACCCAGCCCTGGGGCCAGGGTCCTGTGACTTCAGTCCCCTCACTCCATTGCCCTGAGCCCAAGCCTTTGCCTCAGGTCCCCAGCCCCCTCCTCTGGCCGGGGAGCAGCGGAGGACTCCAGTCCCCCCACCCAGGGCCTCCCTCCCTGCCCCCAAAGCCCTGCAGCCAACTCTGCAGGTCAGAGAGGGAGGGCCCAGCGGGGCCCAGTGGGGCCCAGTGAGCATGTGTGAGGACAGGGACTGGCACCCAGGCCCCGGGGGGGCGGGGGGGGCCCCGGTGCAGTGGGCATCTGGCCTGCCCCTGGGGGCCTGGCCTCATCCTCGCCCAGCTCCCCTCCGGCTGCTGTGGCCTCCTTCACCTCTCCCTCTCCCTCTCTCCGAGGCTCACTGCTCCCATCTCTGTGTCTGCCTCACCTACCCCGCCGGTCTGTCCTCTGGGTCTGTGTCTGCCGCCACCTGCCCGTGTCCCTCTGTCTCTCTCCGGGGCCGCGTCTCCCCTGGGGCCTCGGTCCGTCATCTGTGGGGCGAGGGGTGCTGCTCACACCCAGATCTTCCCCTCGGCGCCAGCACCTGTCCCTGGTGACTCCACTGCCCCTGTCCTGGAAGGGTCTTCCTTCCGGACCCCTCTGCCCCCATCACTTCCTCCTCCTCTTCTCCGCTGACGCCCTTTCACCCTCTTCCCACATCCGGAAGGCCCTGCCTGCCCTGGACCCTGGGCTGAGGGGCCCTGCTCTGAGGGACCCCATCTTCCCCGTCACCTCCCCGCCTGCCAGTTTAGAGCGCACAGAGGCCCTTCCGCAGGCTTCTTTCTGCCTGGTCCCCGCAACACCGAGGCTTCCTCCCTGGACCCCAACTCCCATCCCCAGCTGGTTCTTCTCGACCTCTGGGCTTGCCCTGTCCTCAAGGTCACTCACCTGGCAGTGCAGCGAGTCCTGTAGAAAGGGCACTGGATGGCACTGCTTTTCATCAGACTAACCTTCAGCTCCTGAACCCTGGCCGCCTCGGTCTCCCCCACCCCTGTCTCCTCACCTCTTCACGCCCCTCCATCAGATCTGCCACTGGCCCAGGCCCCTCCGTTTCAGCTTGCCCCCCTGGTAGGGCCAGTGGCGGGCATCTGGGGTTCCCTTCCTGGACACACGGAGCCTGGGGCCTCCCCAGCCTGGCCCTGCACCCCACCAGGGACCTGAGGCCCATGTGCCAACCCCAGGGAGGCCTTGGTTTCTCCCATTCCCGCTGCACGGCCTTCCCCAGGCTCACCCGGGAGACAGTGGGCCTGGGCCTCCCCGCGGGGGGTGCTCAGGCTCAGGTGCCTCCCCCCCCCAGACAGCCCCTCCGCCCCAGTGAACGTCACTGTCAGGCACCTCAAGGCCAACTCCGCGGTGGTGAGCTGGGATGTCCTGGAGGATGAGGTTGTCATTGGATTTGCCATCTCTCAGCAGGTAAGCCCCTGGGAGGGGAGATGGTGGTGGGTGAGGGAGGAGGAAGAAAGGGGCTGAGGCCCAGGGCAGACTGGCAGGAAGGTGGCACTGACAGCTCAACAGGGGCCCCAAAGGGGATCGGTGGGGGAGGGAGGGCTCTGGAGCCTTCGTTCGGAACCCGGGACTTCAGAGTGCGGTTTTGATCTTAAGCAGACCTGAGATTTGGACCTGGCTCCACTTCTCACGCAATGTAAGGCTCTGGGCACCTTCCCTCACCCCTCTCCCCGCCTCCTCCTCTGTAAAGCAGAGATAAGGAGGTCTGCAGAGATGGGGGAATGCGCGAGGGAGATGACGTCTTCAGCGAAGGGCTTAGCGCGGTAGCCAGGTGAGCCCGTGGCTGCGGCCGGAGAGGTGGCCGATGGGTGGTGACTGGGCGCCGGAACCCCGGGCTGGCTCTCGCTTTGGCAGAAGAAGGACGTGCGGATGCTGCGCTTCATCCAGGAGGTGAACACCACCACCCGCTCCTGCGCCCTCTGGGACCTGGAGGAGGACACGGAGTACATCGTGCACGTGCAGGCCATCTCCGTGCAGGGCCAGAGCCCGGCCAGCGAGCCCGTGCTCTTCAAGACACCGCGGGAGGCCGAGAAGATGGCCTCCAAGAACAAAGGCAGGCCGGCACTGTGCGGGAGGGGGCCGCGGGGGGAGGGGAGGGCTGGTCAGGCCCGAGCAGTGGAGGTGGAAGAAAGCACTGATTTCCCATACTCCTCCCTCCGCTACCCCCCTACCTATCCCCTCTCTTCCCCTCTGCCTAGTAAAGCACCTAGTAAAGTACCTGAGAGAGAGAGAGGAGGTCACTGTAGTGACCCAATAAATGCGTATATAAACATTTATATTTTGGATTGCCTTATCGCTGCCACTCCGAGTAGCCATCAGCGTGTTCTAGAACCTCTTTTTGTTAGGTGCGTGGGCACCGATAGGGAGAGAAGCGCTTACTTTCTTGGGCTTGGCCACATCGGAGTGGCTGGGGGAGGAAAGGAGCCCAGACCCAGCGTCTCTCTCTCTCTCCCCACAGATGAGGTGACCATGCAGGAGATGGGGCGGAACCAGCAGCTGCAGACGGGCGAGGTGCTGATCATCGTGGTTGTCCTGTTCATGTGGGCCGGTGAGTCCGGCCTCCAGCCCTTCTTCACTGGGAAGGGCGGACCCTGACCCTTCTCTCACAGAAACACTCAAGGGGCCCAAGAGCCGCATGCGGCTCGCGAGCCACAGTTTGCCGACCGCGGCCCTAGGCCGTTCCTGTCCTGGTGCCTCCACAGCACCCTGTTTGCCCCTCCTCAGCCCTTCTTAGATACGTTAGTTGGGCTTATAACTCTCTTTTCCACTTATCTGTAAGCTCTCTGAGGAGAAAGATCAAATTTCGTTTTTTGTATTCAATCCGCGTTTTCTGAGCGGCCACTTCACTGTCTATAGTGCTACGTTCCTTAGCGAGGGCTAAGAAGAGCCTCATACCCACCAGCAAGCCTGGGAGAAGCCGGGCCCGTATGAACTACAATTCAATGGGATGGGTGCTGTCATAGGACTGTGTACTGGAGCAGCGGAGAGGGAATTCATTCTGGGGCCAGGAGTCAGAAAACAGGAAAAACACAAAGAGCGGGAAATTTGGGATGTGAGCGGTGAAGGGTGAATAGGAGTTCACCCAGCAGCCAAAAAAAAAAAAAAAAAAAAAAAAAAAAGGAAGGATGTTCTGGGCACGGTGTGTTCAAGAAACAGATTCAGCTCAGTGGGCTCAGTGCGGCTGTGACCCAAGGAGGAGGTAGGGAGTGGGGGAGTGAAGGACGGCGAGGCGATGGAGTGACTGGAGTCTGTGGAGGAACCTGATGCCTGAGCTGTGTCAGCAGTGGGTGAGGGGCAGGCTCTCTCAGGTAGAAGAACTTGGGGGTGAGGGGGTGGGAGGTTCCATAGGCTCATAAAAAAAACAGGGGGAAAAGGGTTATACAAAAGAGGAGGTTTGCTTATGATGCTTTATTAGACTTGGCACAGATAGTGCTTATGAAATCACAATAATATGAACATAGTGAATGAACCCAAAATCGTCGCGTAATTCTGTTAGGGCGATGGGGAAGGAAGCAGGGGGAGTGGTTAGGCCTTATCTGCTGTTTGAGGAGGCAGCTCGAAAGGAATGCGCTGGGAAAGGCAGCCAGGAGGGGATCCGTGTGAGACCTGACACGCCACAATCAGACTGGGGAGGCGCCAGGCCCCTCCCTCTGTGAGAAGAAGTCTAACTGGTGGCGTAAACCTGGGGGAGGGGCCTTATAACTTGAAGATACTGTTTTTGAGAAATAAGGGAGGGGGAGACTTAGGTTTAAGGCACTCCAGTTTAAGGGCATAAATAACCAAAGCCTCACTAAGCAGGGCACTTGGTTTGGTTTCCAGTGGCTGCGTTGCCGTATACACTCAGACAATAGCTGTGTGTATTCCTTTTCTGCAAATACATCCCCGCCTGCTTGTCTCTTGTTTAAATTCGTCCCTGTTACAAGAAGACAAGAATTGAGAACACAGAATACTATGTCCAGACAGAGGCCACCCTGACCATCCCTGACACTACCATGGTGGGAAGTCAAGAGATAATATCTAAAACAGGCCAAGAAATAACCACTATAAATCCAGAATAGAAGTAAAAATAGGGGAAACACAAGAACTGGAGTTGGCTGCCTTCGTACTATCCAACTTCCAAAAAAAGCTTATGATGCTCCTGTATTAGTTCAATAAAATAAACATTTCGCAGACTGCAGGCCCCGGGTGCACACCCCGGCTCCACCCCGGAGCGGCCTTGAGTAAGTCACCTGAGCTCTGCTCAGTCCTCACTCTCACCTGGGGAGGGTCACTGGGCCCTCACGGTGCCAGGAGGACTCCGTGAGCTGGAATGTGTCATTGCACAGCTCAGCTTGGCCCGTGCTCAGCAGACGCTGTTGTTTCTATTTCCCCCTAAAGGATAGAGGGCGGACTCAGACGTTTAAAAGAAGGGAAGGGAGGAGACGTGATCAGACGCAGGTTGTAGGAAGACCAACCCAGCAGCAGTGAAGGGGATGGTCAGGGGCAGGTGGGCACAGGAGCCAGAGGCCAGGAGCAGGCTGTGGCAGGAGTGCAGGTGAGAGACCATCTGGAGCTCAGTACCTAACGAGCTCAGCAAGGGCTCGGGGCGAAGGAGCAGGCGGGCAAGGACTCTGACTCCTCTCCCCTGTCCCCCAGGCGTCATCGTCCTCTTCTGCCGCCAGTATGACATTATCAAGGACAACGAGCCCAACAACAACAAGGAAAAAACCAAGAGCGCGTCCGAAGCCAGCACACCAGAGCACCAAGGCGGGGGGCTTCTCCGCAGCAAGGTGAGGGCAGGGCTGGGACCTGGGTGGGCGGCCCCATGGCTCAGGCACCGGGAGTCCCTGGACTGCAGAGGGGTCAGCGCTGGGCAGAGCCAAGCTTGGCTGCTGCCTGGGTGACCCAGGGGACTCTGCAAATTGGTTTTGGATCCTCTCCTTTTGCAGGGTGCCAGGGGCCAATGAGGGTTAAAAGCGGGGGGGGGGGGGGGGGGGCAGTGAATGGGGAGGGCAGAACTCTCGGTTGGTGTGGACGAGAAGAGATGGGCTTTGAGCTCATTTCTGCAGCGGTGGTGCTGTGACCTTGGGCAGGTGCTTCAGCTCTTTGTCCCTTCATTTCCTCTTGTGTGAAACAGATATGAAACCTTTTCAGTGCTGGCTCTGGGCAGCTCAGAAGACAGTAGAGAATGTGAGAGGATCTCATGGTTCAGGCGATGATACCCAACAAACATCTGGCCCTCTCTGCCATTTCCTCCGCCCCCATCTCCTCACACCCTCCGGCTTACTGTCCTCTCTCTCGGCTTCACTCTTTCTGGCGCGTTTTCCTGAAGCCTCTTATTAACCCCCATCTCCAGAAGCACCGCAACAATGGCAGTGGCTGAGGCTGCGCTGAGAGGCAGATCTGCAGGACGTGAGAACCAGCCAGCAGGATGGCTCTGCTGGGGGTGACGGGGTCCGGGGGCAGTGGGCCCAGGACCCAGTCTTGGCCGTTCAGCTGAGTGAGCTGAAGGCTGGGTTTGAGACGGCAGAGACAAGACGTGCAGGCAGGCTGCTCCTTTCCTCCATGGGGGGGGGGACAAGAGCTTGGCTCTCCAGCTCCCTTCCTCCTCTTGTCCTCGGTTTGCAACCTTGCGAGAAGTCTATTCAGTCAGCCCTGGCCGCTTCTCTCATTTTTCCTCCCAGTTTCCAAACAAGCTCTTGGTGATCATCATTGAAGCGTGACTACCTGTCTACAGGGAGAAGGATTTCATTTTTCTTCTCTGCTGGTCCCCAGGTCCACGGGCACAGGAAGGGGGAGGACTGCAGTGGAGGGAGAGCTACGGCTAGCTGCACAGTTCTCTCTCCCTGATGTCCTAGTCTGGTGAAGGAGACTGAACTACAAACCCAAATTTTGCAAAAAAAATAAACAAGCCACAAAACGAGTCCCGGCCCCATTCTGGAAAAGGCAAAGCTGCATGAGACACGGCCTTCTGCCTGCCTCCTCTCGTCTCCCGGACGGCCTTCCTCTCTAAGATGCACAAAGCTGCTGGGAGAGGACAAGCACCGAGACTGACTTCGGCTCTTTCAGACCAAGAGCCGGCAGAGAAGCCGTGGAGCCTTTTCTGGATTCAGCCATTAAGGACTTGTTTGTGGTGCGATGCACAACTTTGTGTGTGTGTGTGTGTGTGTGTGTGTGAGATTTATGTTTTGTCTCTTGGAAAACACAATTGAAGGGCTTCATTCCAGAGGGCCATAGGGACTCCCGGAGCTGGTTGCCTGCACCTTCTATCTTTTTTGGCCCTTGTTTTGACTGTAAGACCATCAGTCTGGGGTTTTAAGAAAAAGTAGGAAAGACAGCTGGAAGGTATTGGCCCCATTTCTTTAGGAAAATCTCTTGTAACAGTGCTGACAAGGACAGTGGAAAGGCACGTTCCCGTGGGACGTCCTGAGGACTGCTAAATCACCGTGCTGTGGTGGAGCTGCTGGCAGGCAGGCCTGAGCCACCCATTCAGAGCAGCCGTGGCCTCTGGGGTCTCCATATCTTGCATCTCATCCAGGGTTCTGTGAAAGCTACCCAGGGTCCTCATGTCCTTCCCTAGAGCCGGTGTGGTGTGAGGTGACAGGTCTTTCTCCACTGCCCCTTTCTGGTAAAAAACAAAAACAAAAACAATAACCTGGTGCTTGATAAGGGAAGGCAGACCCTTCCCTAGGACTGACAAGCTGTGGCAGCTGAACGCCTGCGCCTTCCAGTGGTGGCTACGGACAGCAGTGTGGAGCACACGCCTAGCCGTAGCCTGGCGCACAGTAGGTGCTCGTGAATGCCTGTTGAACTGAGGAAGAGCAATAGCCCCCACGCCAGAGAGCTGGAAGCCATCACCCAGTGACCACCCTTCCTTCCGGTCTACAAGAGCTCTCACGGCTGGGCCGGCCACCACGTCTGAGTGTGGGACACAGGGAGGGAGGAGAGACAGGGTACAAGGCAGATGTCAGCAACACTAAGGGCTTCCTCATGGGAGGGCATGAGGCTTCACTCATTGTCTGTGACTTCCATCCCTGCTGAATGGGGCTGCAAGGCCAAGGCTCCCTAGGGGAGAGAGGTCCTTACCTCTGATCCAGTTAGAGCAATAACCACTTTTTAAACGAAAATAAAAAGACAAATGAAAAGGCACATCCTGGTCTTCTGGTAAATGCCCAAACGTTGCCCTCTTTTTCTGGCAGTTGGCAGACGCTCAGTTCTCTCTCCATTTTGGCCTGCAGCTTCCTGGGGACATGCCTGCCAGCCAAGCTGGAGTTGGAAGGGAAATCTCGAACAGATGGGGGTGCACGTGTAGGAGGAGAAAATAGCTGCTCCATCATCCTATTACTGAGCCCCGCCCCCAGACCCTAAACCCGGCTTGGGCTGCCTCACCGGATAGGTATGCAGACTGGTGCTCGGTTTTTAAAACAAAGGGTTTTCCCCTTGGACGGGGTTGGTGCTTTCCCTGGCCAGAGGAATGCAGTCTGTTTCTCCCAGGGGTGAGCAGGGAAGTGAAGAGAAACTGCAGAGCTGCTTGCTGCTGCTCAGTATTCACAGCACACAGTTCTGGGCTGTTAAAGGAACATCCTTATGGTCCCAACAGCAGGCTGAAAGGTGGAGTAATAGTGCCATTAGCCAATGAGCAAACCAGTAAATGGCACACCTTGAACATTCCCGTCAGAACCAGCAAGAACTTGGTGATTGGGCTTAGGGAAGGCTGTTCTGGAAGATTCTGAGGACAAAAGGCAGGCAGGTCTTAGAGAAGTCCATTAGCACACAGAACTCTAAGCCAAACCTGAGAGGAACTTCTCAGGTCTTCTGTGCTCACAGTGCCAAGTGATGGAGAAGCCCCCAAGGCAGCATCAGGTGTAGAAAGCTGCCAGTGGGGTTCAGGAAGCACTGCTAATGGGTGTTTCCCGTCTCCCCTTTATCTGTGCCTATAATATATCACCTGAGGGTGTGAAGGGAGAACAGTCCTGCTTTAAACTCTGTTGCCTTTACCTACCCATAGCCCCAAGTTCTTTAATGACTGAGCTTTTCCTGAATCAACTGTAGTTATACAAACCCTACACCCGTCTTGGGAAGCGGTCTCTCTTCACCACGCACATAGGTCCAGATTGCTCACTGCTTATTCTTTGAGGCTGAGACCTGACCGCAGACCACAGTGGGCCTGTGGGAGGAATGTAGGGCTGAGAGGCAGGAGACCCCACCTTGTATCGCATAACACCTCAGGCCAGTTACTTGAGGTGATGGGGAGTGGGCCTTGGTTTCCTCATGTGTCAGACCCCATTCACCACCTAGACTGGGAGCTAAGGGGCTTCCTCACAGGAACGAGAGGGAACCCCAGAATTTAGGGAAGGACTGTGGGCTGTTTCAAAGGGGTAAGAGCCCCTTACTCCGTGTAATCCTGTCCCCTCAACCACTAGCTGTTCAGCATGGGCCTCCTCTAGAATCCACTTTTAAGATCTCTGATGAAACCCTTTACAGAAATATGTAAAAACTCACCAAACATCATGTTTCAGACTTCTACTTTCTCACCTTCTTTAAACCTATTTGTCAGAGTTTGGATTTTGCTTTTAAGACGTAGCCTCCAACCAACTGTTTATGTAAATGGGATACTATCCCCCAAGCTCCAATCTCATCAAGCTACTTGAAGCTAAATCGAAGGGAATCTTTGTATACAAATAGTTCCTTAATAATACATTCCATGACTATCACATGGGCTGCTTTGAAGATTGTCCAAATAATTACATTCCCCTTCTCTTAAAAAAAAAAAAAATTGATTTCAGAAAGGGAGAGGGATAGAAACCATCAATGATGAGAATCATTAATCAGCTGTCTCCTGCACGCCCCCTACTGGGGATGGAGCCTGCAAGAGGGGCTTGTGCCCTTGACTGCAATTGAACCCGAGATCCTTCAATCCCCTGATGTGCCAAATCAGCTAGGGCCCACTGCCTCCTCAGTGGGTGCTAGGGAGGGGCAGATTTTCTGTCTATGGCATGTTCCAGTTGTCACAGGGGGGAAGACAGGTGGGGAGGATTGACAAGGCAGGAGCTTGTTCATTAAGGAATTCTACCACTGACCAGCTGATACTTCCTGTGCCAAGTGGGAATTTTTTTCCAGACAGGTGCTTTGGCATACAACGCCAAGCATACCTTATGATCAGCTTAGGAATAATTGTTTACTCTCAGAAAAGCAGGACAATACCCAGAAAAGAAAGAAACTCAGATTTCCAGTTTTAGGTACTTGGGGTCTTTTCTTTCTGTAAAAGCTCAAAACAGGAGAATGTTTTAAAGAATGATTACAGAATGAGCCCATTTTCGAGAAGGTCCGTTTGTCTTTCTCCTCATTTTCCCATAACATGAAACAAATGAAGGGTAAGGGACACCATCATTCTAGAGAATCCAGCCTGGTTTCTGAGACCTTTGAAACCTGCAGTCACACTGTGAAAAGGAAATGAGGAATTCCTGGACAAAGGACTGTCTACCTGACAGGAACAAAATAGGTCTGTGTAAGTCAGAAGCAACTCTGACTCAAACAAACCAAATAGCTGAGTACTTAGCAAATTTATATTGAACATTCTACTTGACTGTAAAATATATACTAGATGAAATTTACAGAACAGCAGCTCAGAAAGCCTGTCCAAACATGTTGCCCCTTATTTTCTCAGCAGGAGCTTTTTTTTAAAAAGCAATGGCTAATCTAGGAGCCATGCTATTATTGCCTTCCCTTTCATCCTCGTTCCTGGGGGGTACTAAGAAGCTTAGGTTCACAGAAAGGATCTAAGGAACACTGTGTCTCCCACATCAACCCATACTTATCCAACCTTCGCCCAGATTCTAGGAACAGTCAATTTCTGGAGAAGAACAAGTTTCAATTTTGCACTATCAATTCTGGCTTCACATCCCTTTCAAAAGGAGAATGTCCCAGGATGGTTCAGCTTCTTCCTTAATCAGGGCTAACTCTGGAGTGGCAGAGGCACAGAGGTCAAACACAAACATGGGAAGGAATGCAAGGCGATGTCTGTCTGATCAGGCGGAGCCATTTTCCCCTCTGCAAAAACAGCAGCCCAGTGATATTTCAGGCTCTCCCCATGTCAGGCTCCTGACATGCACTATATGTAGCTGCAAATCTCAATCAATTCCAACATTCTTTAGCTGCAGGAACGCCTTTTCCAACACTGTAATTTACCCTAAAAGAATAGGAGCACGCACCCCCGCCTCCCCAGCACCACGTTCTACTAACTGCCACCTCCTTCTATACCCCACTAACCTACCTACGCAAGGAGGAAGGAACCCTCCTTCAAAGCCTGCAACAGACGGTCACAGTACATATGCCACTGACAAGAACTTTTATTTCTTTTTAATGACATTAAACACAACTGCTACAAGGGAAAAAACCATGATAAAGAGGCACCAAACTTGTTTCATAACTGATCCTGACAAAAACTCAAAGCAGGGCCTGCATTAGATGCAAAATTGCAGGTTCTTTGCCTCTAAGCAAACTATATAAACAGCACATTTTTACTCCGCTTTATCAATACCCTTGTGGTGCGAATGTCATCCTGGATGAAGAAAGGTAGGTAGGCAGTTAAATGTATGTAACATAAAACACAGTAACAATTCCACATGAAATACTAGACTTAGAGGCCAACACCAAGTATAAGATATGCATCTTCAAAAAAATTAAAATTCCAGATTTTACCCACCAGCTTCTTTAAGGTGGGCATGCCTAATAATGAGTTTTCTTTGGCTGTTTTTTTCTCCTTGAAGAATATTATGTTAACTGCTAGAGAACAGTTCTCTCCTCCTCCAGTCCAACAGATTTAATTAAGCTGCTAAAGCTTTGGAAAAACAGAATTATTTGAGCAAAGAGGAAATGTGATTGTCACATTTTATAGTTAACCTGTCACTCATATGATTTGGCAAAGGCAATGCTCCCATTACAGATTCAGACTTAAACCCTTTTGTACCAGGAAGGTAGGAACATGAGTCCTAGATTTTGGGCTAAGCAAAACACTGTCTCTTCAGAACTTGGGTTATCTATGGGGAACTAGCCAGTTGCAATGCTAGTTACTCGCCTATGATTAATTATAGCTATGTTGTGGTTCCAAAGGTAGATTTTTGCTTGTCACATTCTATCAACTTAATTTAGGGAAACTTGGAGAAGCGACTGATATATTAAATGATAACTGGAAAAATAGATTGACTCTTGCCCTTGCACATAACTTTTTAGCATTTTGGTCTCAGAATTTAACAAAATGTCCAAGGAAAAGAGAACCCTGAACCAGATAAAAACAATACTTAGGGATGACCAAGTTCTTCTCAAGTCAGTTTCTAAAGAAGGATTTAAGATGGGTTACTCACAAAGATGGGGCTGATGAAACAACAAAACCAGAGAGGCAGCTAGCCATATCATAGGCTGTGCTACAGAAACTATGTACAATTTTCACAGCGAGTGAGCAACAGCATGAATGCTAGACTGCAAAATCTCCCAAAAGATGTCTGGCGCTGTCTTTAAAGAAAGAATAGCAAATTCCTAAGGCATCCATTAAGATGGCTGCAGTCTATCAACTTGGTTTAGAAAACCAATCCTTAACATCAGGTAATGTTTTGTGCACAGGCTTAATCACAGTTATATTAGACCCACGTTAGCAGTTTTGTGAAACAGAGGCTCAACCAAATGAGATGATAACATTAGGGTCTAAAGGCACCTCTTGCTGACAAATAATGGAGACAAAAAATGCCTCCAAAGTTTCTCCCACAGGATGGAAGCTCACTAACACAGGACCTCAGCCTTAAAGTCTGGTCTTAGCAGATGAAACTGAAGACTGACATCTCAATAGCACTAACTTTTGGGACTGTCCTGGAGGCGAGACCCTGGGTGAGCAGCTCATCAATAAGGAGAGTAGGGACACTGTTCTTAAGAGGCACATCCATGTCTAACAGGAATTTATCAGTCGAACCCTAGAGAGCACATTGGTCACTGGGTTAAAAAAAAAAAAAAGGCAAATCCTTGAAATAAGGCAGAGAAGACAGTTACAAGACCTCAAATTAACATGGGTTACTCAGTCAGCCGTCTTCTGGCAAAGTTAAGATGCATACAATCTGCAAACATTACTATGCAAAGTAAGTCTGATAAAGAATGAAATAAAAGCCAAAAAAATAAAGGCAGAGAGGAGATACAAAAAAGAGAGAAGATTTATACTTTTAATCTGTCCTTTTAACAGGACATCTATCCTATTTCAAATATTTTGGATTACCAACTTTAAAATGTTGACAGATTAATTAGAGGTGTTAAAAGTTATTTGTATCCATTTATAAATCATGAGCAATTAACAATGGCTTGCAGCCTGATAGAATCTCTTCCTTATAAAAGATTAAAAGATTACTTCTTTTGGGCACCAGTAGACTTCACTTCTGCATAAAGGTGGGTGATTAGTTTGAGCCTGGGTGTTTTCACTTAATGTCAGCTTTCAGGAGGTGGCCACCTTCAATTTAAAGAAACAAAAACTGTATCATCTTAACACTGCTTAAACACACATGCACGCACGCACACACACACGCACGCCTGAAGGATTTTATACAAAAAATTTCAAGTTGGCAATGGGCACTTCCAAAAGGCAAAAAGTTCTTTAAATAAAAATCTTGTGAAAAATAAAATTCAAAATCTGCCAAGCTCAAAACAGCAGAAGACGAGATGCTACTCTGGACAGGACCTGGACAGGGACCTTCACTGCTAACGGGGTGAGACACACGGACTGTATTGGTTATTTTAGAGACTCTGGAACCGCTGGTGGCTTCGCTTGTTCCTGTCAACCCACTGAGTCAGACTGTATCTTTCCAGAGGTTTCTGTCGGAACCGGGCATAGTTTCTGTCAACAGAGAGAGAGAGAGAGAAAATAAAAACAGAAAAAATGATGGTTTCAGCTGGGATGGCTCTTTGTATACAACTATTTTAAGAATATCATTACTTTAAGAAATCAAATAAATTTTACATTTCAATTCTCAAATTTTAGAAATTTTATACAAAGGTCATATTATAATTGCTATGTCCTTCTAAATTCCAAAGCACCTAATTCCCAGACAGGTATTATGTGGTAACAAATGTCCCAAGAAAACAATGTATAATAGTGATTAAGTAGAAAAAAAAATACTTTCCCCCTCTGGGAACATTTAGAACAGGATCTACATTTCATTGCTTGCATCAGAGCTCTATTTCCAATAGGTTCTCACTGTCTGACACAGCTCAAGGTTGCTCAGGACACAGCAGTTAAAATTAGAATAAAATTCCCAGAGAAGGCAAGTCATCATGCGAGCTTCACACTGCAAGTTTAGGGACTGAACAATTAACAGCACAGACTTAAGAGTTTCTTGAGTCTCCTTTAGTCATGTGCAGGGCTGGGTTCTGAAGAGGACCCACTGAGATCATTTGAGCCCATTCTCAACTCCACTGTTCCTAATAACCCACCTGGGAAACTTTTTAAAGATGTAGATTCTTGGCCCATCCCTCACCTCCAGACTTAATGACTTAGAATCCCTATAATCAAAGCCTGGACACCTATATTTTTGGACATCTCCAGAGATGATTATGAGGAACAGCCAGGGTTGAAAATAATTGTAACAATACCTGACATTTACTTAGCACTATATACAAGCACTTCAATTCTTTGAACACCTCATCTCATTTAAAAATATATATATTTTATTGATTTTTTACAGAGAGGAAGGGAGAGGGAGAGAGAGTTAGAAACATCGATGAGAGAGAAACATCTATCAACTGCCTCCCACCCACCTCCCACTGGGGATGTGCCCGCAACCAAGGCACATGCCCTTGAATAAGGAAATTGATCCTCAGGTTAACTAACTTGCTCAAGGTTATATAGTGGAGTAAGCAGAAGAGCCTGGATTTGAATTCACACCAGAATTTATTCACTAACCATTACACTACATTGTCTTTCTGATAACTACAGATGAAACAATGAGTGTAAAGGCTGAGGTAGGAGAATGTCTGCATACTTGAAAAACGGCAAGGAAGCCAGTGACTAGAGCAGAATGAATAAAGCAGAGAGGAGATGAGGTTAATGAGCTGTCAGAGTAGGCCATGATCCTTATAGGAGATGTAGGGGTTCATAAAAATGAGAAGATGGGAAATCAAAAACCATTTGAAAATCCTGAGCAAAGAAGAGAATCTAACATGGACTAATGTTTTAAAAGAATCTCTTTGGCTACTGAGCTAAGAACAGTCAACGGGCAAAGGCAGAAGCAGGAGATGATTTAGGTTTGCAATAATCAGGTGAATATGATGCAAAATGATCAGGTTTTGGATATATTTTGTATGTGGTAATTACAAAATTTGTTAATGGGATAAATATATGTATGGAAAGAGAGAAAGGAGCCAAAAATTACTTTAAGTTTTCTGGGTAACTGGTCAAAGTAATTGACTAAGTCTATAAAATTACACTGCATCAAGAAGAATCCGTAAGATTTCGGCACTAGAAAGGCCCTTTGAACCCTGGCCAGAGAGGCTCAGTTGGTTGAGTGTTGTTCCATGCACCAAAGGGTCACCGGTTCCGTTCCCAGCCAGGACACATGCCCAGGTTGCAGGCTCAATCCCCAGTAGGGGGTTTCAGGAGGAAGCTGACTGTTTCTCTCTCATATTGATGTTTCTATCTCTCTCTAAAACCAATAAAAATATTTTTAAAAGGCCCTTTGACATTAATTAGTCCAACATCTTTATTTTACAGATGCAAGAACCAGAGAAGTAAAGTGATTAGATTAAAATCAAATAGATGAAAAACTGCAAAGCTAGTATTAAAACCCTGGTTTTCTAAATGTCAGTCCAGTTCTTATTCCATTATACTGTATTCCTCTTTTTCCACCTCTGATTTTAAACAGTTATAACCTCAACTTCCCACCACAATCCTCTTATAGCCAAATTCTACCCTCTTCCTCCTCCTTTTAATCACCCACTCACCGAATGGTGAGGTCCGAAGGATGCGGATGGTTATGCATATGATGAACTTGATCCATCAAAGAACACAGTTCCACCAAGGCACCTGCAATAGAGAGATCAGTGGTTAAAAATCAGGTCAGTGAACTGCCATTGTCAGCCTAGGTGAAAGCTTTCAGAGGAAGAGAAAACAAGCACTGGTCCTAATACTATCTCTGAGCATCACAACCAGTCAGCACAAAAACTACAAGCCAGAGAGGGGAGCTTGTTCTTGGGTGATGATGATAAAACAATAAGACAGCTACCGTTCATTCATTCAACATTTAATAGCTCCTACAATGTGTGAGGAACTTGACTGTCCCCTAGAATATTGTGGTTTACAAGAGACTGTATCTGCCCTAGGTGATATGTACGGTGACACACACAGACTGGGGCATGGCGATTAGAGAAAGTCGCCTCCAAGGGAAGTAAACTAAAAGCAGGGATCTATATATGTAAGAAGTTGGTGAGATAAAGAGGAATAGGTGGTAGAAGTGTCCAAGAGAAATAGCTAATGCAAAGGCCTGTAACACAAGATAACAAAATACATTCAAGAAACAAGAGAAGTTGAGAACAGAAGAAGGAACACAAGTTTTGCTTGACTAGAAAAACTGGGATTCTGGCAAAATGCAAGTAAGCACTTTACACATTACCTTAATTCTAAAAAAAATCTTAGATGTAGAGAGATGTTATTAACATCATTTTAGAGATGAAAAACTATAGCTCAGGAAGTATACTTGCCTTAGGTGCTTATTAAATTGGACTCAAAACAACCTGCTTTGAGTTCAGCTTTTGCCACTATTTGACGATACTAATTTTGCACCTAAGGGTTGAGACTTAGGCTGAAGCTCACAAGAGAAGAAATTATTGTTTGAGAAAACAAATAATTTCTCTAGACCCGTGGCTCTCAAATTTTAACATGAATCACAACCAGCTATAAATGTTATAAAACAGATTGCTGGGTTCCAACCCCAGAGCTTCTGATTCTATAAATTCGAGTGGGAAATGAGATTTTGCATTTCTAATAAATGCCCAAGTGATGCTGATGCTGGTTTGGGAATTACACTTTGAAAACCACTGTCTTGGACAGCAGAGATCTTTCTTTCACTAGTTTCCATACTTCTCATTTATCTTATCTACTATGTTCTCAGGAACCAAGAGCACTTTTAGGTACAGACCATCTTTTCAAGTTCTGGTAAAAAATATTTACGACCAATTTATTCAAAGCCTCAAGGAGCCAACCTTTGTAAAAAAAGTATATAAACTTTGAAGTTAGGCAGACAAATTAAATTTCCAATCCAGTCACTAACTAGTTCTTGACCCTGAACAAATCATTTCATTTCTTCTAGCCCCACTTTACTCATCAAGGCACTGTCGGGGACAATAATATTTAGCTTGGAGTATTAGGAACATCTATAACAATAAAAGTGTAATATGCTAATTAGACCAGACAACCTTCCGGATGAAGCCAGGGCTGCGAGGGAATCCCAGGTCCTGGGTGCCAGAGGGAAGCCGGTGCTGGCAGCTGGGGGAAGGAAGGCCTACTCTTGCACAAATTTCGTGCATTGGTCCTCTAGTAGTACATAAAAGCATAGAATACTGCCTGGCATACAGCCTGTGTGCAGTAAGTAGTAGCTATTATTATGATGTTACAGCCTCAGGCCTATGTTAGTTTGCAATGTGTCTTCAAATCCCATGACAATCAACTACCTATTTGTAAGGAAAATGCTTATTAAATGGATAAGTCTACATATAAACTATGACACTCAGCAGATATTCTCCCTCTATCCATATTGAGAATACTTTTCAGGAAATATTTATAGATTCATTACATTAAAAGTTTCTGTGCAGTAATATAAAAAAGCACAACCAAGGATAAAAGAAGACAATTGACAAATATATATGAAATATATTTGGCAAAGGTTTACTATCCTTTTTCTACAACGACAAGTCTCCTCATAAAACAAAATATAGGTCAAGGACATGAATAGGCAATTCATACAAGTATAACATAATGAAAAAAATGTTGTCTCACAAATATGAAAATAAAAAATTAATCTCACTTCTTGATAAAGAAATATAAATTTCCCCTTTAAGAAAGTAATTTTTAATTAAAAAACCCCTTGCCTTTAAGTTTTTCCAGCTAAAATCAAAAGCCTTGATTCTAAATTGCCCCTTTCCTATACCCTACTTTCACACCACTAGCACCCCATTCCCTCTAGCTCCCAAAAAAGAATGTTGCAATGAGGGGAATATCAGCTTTGTAAGAATTTCAAAATAAAATTTTCCTGCCAAAGCATCACCAAAGGAAGGCTGGCGAGACATGCAATTTTGGTGTTCAACCTCAAAATGAAACAAGACTATCTACAGACCATGTCCTTCAGTTCACTCATCTCTAGAAAACTGCTTTGATGATGGAAACTAAAGATATACTATAAACCTCCAACCAAGAAACATATTCATTTTAAACTAAATGAAGAAAAAGACAGATTGATGAGGCTCAAGGAGGCTTCATATATTCAACTACTAGGCATCATAATCTAGCAGCAGCACTTACCATATATTAGGCACTATCTAAGTGTTCTGTATAAACAACCTTATTTCTGACAACAATCATATGTGGTATTTTCCCCATTTTACAGATGAAGAAACAGGCACAGAAAAGCAATTTGTCCAAGGTCACATGCCGGTGTATGTTTCTTGGCATCTGCAAGGAGTTCAGGAATCTAGAGAAGGTGCTGTGTGTAAATTATTGAAGAGTGCAGAGACAAAACATAATTTTGGAAAGCATTTGGGGGGCCAGAGGAACTGGCTAAAGAAATCAAGTTCACTCGCTAAGACCAGTTTGGCTCAATGGATAGAGCGTCGGCTTGGGGACTGAAGGGTCCCGGGTTCGATTCCGGTCAAGGGCATGTACCTTGGCTGCGGGCATATCCCCAGTAGGGGGTGTGCAAGAGGCAGCTGATCGATGTTTCTCTCTCATCGATGTTTCTAACTCTCTATCTCTCTCCCTTCCTCTCTGTACAAAATAAAAAAATTTAAAAAAATAGAAAAGAAATCAAGTTCTCTCGTCTCTCTGGACTCCTTACTTTTTATTAACCCAAATTATCCTAAAGCAAGGTTTAGTATACAGAATCCATTGTCAGATTGGAGGAACTGCCTTCGGCTGTTCAGGTGTATGGCCAGTAAGGGGCAATAACATGTAGATTGAAATGCCCTCAGCTGTCTGGCAGTAAGCAATCATTTTTGCATCCTTTTTTCAATTTGAGGAAATGCTCTCAGCCATTTCCAACAGGCAATAACATATGTGATTCAGCTCTTACTGAGTTCCCAAGTTCCATCAACCTTTTGATGAAACTCGTGCTTTTATGACATACTGGAATTGGCTTCCGGCAGTTACATAGCTAGTGATAGAGACCAAATTCCAACAATACCATGGGTTGAGCTTCCTAAAAAATTTTTCTGGGACTGACATTTTGTAGTGGGGATCAGAAAGCAAAAAAACATAACATAGTATGTCTCTTGCACACACAGTTGGCACATGGCACAGCCTGTATAAACAAGGAATGAATAATTATGGCTAAACTCATACACCAAAAAATTAGGGTTTTCATTAGCACTGAGAACTTACTGATGGACTATGGTAATCTTATTATTATTTTAATATATTTCATTGATTTTTCACAGAGAGGATGAGAGAGAACCATCGATCAGCTGCTTTCTGCACCCCCCACTCCCACCAGGGATGTGCCCACAACCAAAGCACATGCCCCTGACCGGAATCAAACCTGGAACCCCTCAGTCCACAGGCCGACACTCCATCCACCAAGCCAAACCGGTTTCGGTGGTAACCTTTATTATTAATAAGACTTAATGATCACCAATGCAACAAAAAATTTAAGATACCTAGAAATAACCTTAACCAAGGAGGTAAAAGACCTGTACTCTGAAAACTATAGGATGTTGAAAAAAGAGACAAAGACTTAAATAAGTGGAAGAATACACCATGTTCATGGATTGGTAGAATAAAAATCATTAAAATGTCCTGGGGGAGCGTTGGCCTGTGAACTCAAAGATCCCAAGTTAGATTCCGGTCAAAGGCATGTACCTTGGTTGTGGGTATATCCCCAGTGGGGGGTGTGCAGGAGGCAGGTGATCGATGTTTCTCTCTCATCAATGTTTCTAACTATCTCTTTCCTTCCTCTCTGTAAAAATTTAATAAAATGTATTTTTTTAGAGGCAATATAAAATAAAATAAAAAGGAAAGTTTGTGAAAAAAAAAAAAATCATGTAAGACCAGCTCAAAGCTTCAATCTTCTTCCTCCAAATTTAGACATACTAACAAGAATGGAAACATTTTTGTTTCGAATTCTGAATTTTCTCTTCCCTTCATAGTCTCTTAACAGATGGGATTTCTTGGACTAACAATTAGTACCATGAGTTTATTTTAAGTTGTGGCTAAAAGATGGTGAAGGCTATCTTTTGTTTTGTGGCTAAAAAGGAAATTCACCTAAGGATGAAATTAGGAGAAAAAAAACTTCAACATTTCAGGAATGAGATCAGCAATTCATCTAAACCTTAAATCTATAAGTATGTAAGCTGACTGGTTTGCAAGGGGGGGGGGGGGGGGAGGAATCCAGTCTAATAACTGTCCTTAATAAGTTAAAAGTCAGTCAATTGTTAGAGGAGTAGGAATGATAATGTTGAGTGCTTGCTATGCCAAGGGTCCTTCTGGCAGGTTTTATATAACATCACATAACCCTACTCAATCAAGTTTGGCACATGATCCAAGAACAGGGATTCTCTCAGCTGACTAATAATTTATAAGCTGGCCTGGCTTATAAATCAGATACTCTCTTTGTAATGTGAATGTGAGCTTTAGCAATGAGAACAAGAGAGAAGAGTACACAGATAGGGATCTAGGGAACAGAACTTGAGATAGCTAATAGAGAGCAGAAGCACTAAATCAGCAGGGAAAACCTATGTAGTGAACAAAGACCATTTCTGAAGGGGTCTGTCTCTATGGGGCCTGGCTAAGTTGTTGAGCATTTAATAATCTTCATTTTC